ACTAATATACTCTTATAATGCTGACAAATAAAATTTTTGTTTGTTTATCTCCGAAACCCGGATTTAAAAAACATATAGGAATACTTACAATCTATATAGGTAAATAAATTACACGAGAGCCGCGGGTGAGCGCTAGTTTTATTGAAAAAATGTGTTTGTAGGTTATTCTGGGCATTCCACTCCATTAAATGTGAATACAAAACGTTTACTTGAATTATAATTAAAATATTTTTCTACTTGTGATGTATCCATATTTGAATTGATTTGTTTTGCCTTGCGACGGCTGGCACCGACCAAAATTATATGATTAATGATTATGTAACTACATATCGACGGGTGAAAGGCTATTTGGTTTAAGCGACATTTGCTTAACTTTACAGAAGAGCCAATTTAATGAGTTTTTTTTTTCAAAAAAAAATATTATTAAATTGGCTCTCCTGTAAAGTTAAGCAAATGTCGCTTAAACCAAATAGCCTTTCAACCGTCGGTCGATATTATATTTAAAATGGAAGCCAGTGTTAAATGTTCAGTAATATTTTTTTAATAACGCCTTGAAGTTAGTTTACATATATTTAAAAAGGTATATATAAGTGTATAGAAAATATTGTTGCATGCGAAAACGAGTAACCTGTGTAGAAACTAAAATAACTATGGAAATTAAGTTTAAATAAAATCAAATGTTCAATTCTATTTAATTTTATTGTTAATTAATGGCTTCAAAGCATGCCGGTTGAGCAAAAATCAAATTTTATTAAAATTGATTTTATGATAGATACTTTTGTGGGTTAAAAGTCATTATGACGTCAATTGTTTTGATGAGCATCAGTTTGTAAAGGTGCTTTGCCAAAATTGCCTTGGTAGATGTAATGTGTTAAATCTCTTAATTAGTACAAAGATATTCTTTTTATAGATCAATGAGTATCATGGGAGACGCCAGGATGAGGGTGCAGGGGGGTGCACTTGCACCCCCCTGTCATGAAGGAAAATATTTAGAAAAAAGTTAAAGAAATAAAATTGTATTAGTAATATCCCTATTTTTTAAGTATCTGCGAAAAATAGATGACAGATAAGATATGAATAATTATAATTATTATAAAGTTAATTTTACATGGATTACTTAGTTAGTAGTTTAATATGAAGAATGGGTATATAATAAATATTGGCTGCATTATATACATCGGTTGTGCAAAAAAGAATTTTGCTCAAGTATTATTTTTTAGACATAGGTATTACGTAATACTTTACGAGGTTACAATCAACATTGAAGTTTTAGAATATTAATACAAACCATTATTGATATTTCACTTCTTAAAATCATTTAGGTTTTTAATAAAATACTATACATATTGCAAATGTTGCACATTTATTAATTACTAGCGACTCACCCTCGCTTTGCTCGGGTTCGTCTTGCTAGATTGCTTCCCCATACAAACTTTCATCCCCATTTTCATCCATTTAAGGGATTTTTTCCGGGATAAAAACTATCCTATGTCCATCCCAGGGTCTCAAACTATCTTCTTACCAATTTTAATCTAAATCGGTCCAGTAGATCCAGAGACTAACTCCTACAACATCACAAACTCACAAACTTTACCTCTTTATAATATTAGTATAGATAACTAATGCTGGCTCCTTAGAACTTCATTTAAATAAACACATATACATATATTAATATAATGTAGATATATTTTTAATAAAATCATACAATAGTCAATCTCTATATAAGATTCATATCATATTTTAAACTCGTTTTTTTTATTTTTTATCATCAGCCTACATATGGCACTATGTACTCGCGCATTTATGATTTAATAGGCCTCAGACACTGGACAGTCCATCCGTACCTGATTCGTAAATTAGACATTGAGTGCAAAGTAGAGAGCCGACGCAAAAATAACTTTAGTTTTATAGGAAAAGTTCAAAAACTGCACCCTACATTGTAAATACTAACGGTACAAAGATCTACGCTATTTTAGTACATATCGAAGATTTTGATTAATGAAATTTATCTGTTCTAGCCGAAGCAGGCGTCCGAAATTCGTACGTTTATTTCGCGGACGTTCGTTTGTTGGTTAGTTCCGTGAATTTCATTAAACATATTATTTAAAAGAAGAATAGAGTCCCCTTTATACGCCAATTCATGGGTAACATCAAAACTACAATTTGCCTACAAATACAATTTTTATCTCTATCAGCAATTTTGAAGTAACCAGATGATGCATAAAGGACACTGTGTGCCTATTTAAAGTATTACCTATACTGCCAATTCGAATAATCTCTGTGGCTGTCCGGTGAGTGTATACAAGGCCGAATTTTGACATTAAATAATAATTAGTTTCCGGAGAAACTCATATTTTCATATTTATAGTAATAGTAACAGATTTGATGAAGAAGTAAGAGATTTGATAGGACATTCTACGTAGTTGAATAGCCTCGGGGATGTTGGCAGCCGAGGCCGAAATAAGCTAGAACATCATCATGTAACACCCGTCGCCCAATCTTCTGTAGGTATTTATTTCATGTGTATAAATGTTGTGTTTCTATAATAAATAGATTTTATTATTATGTATGCTTTTGGTATAAATGTATAACGTAGTATAAAGCACGCTTTAATGTTAAAGGCCAATTGTATCATAGTTACAACCATTGACGTTAGCCTATACGTAGAAGAAATCCATTTGTATAATAATAAAAAGAACCCGTAAATTAGCGAAAAATCTATCAAAATGACATATATTAGACACCCTGACTTCTTCATCATTATCATCTCAGCCGAAAAACGTCCACTGCTGGATATAGGTCTTGCCCAAAAATTTCCAAGACTGCCGGTCTAATGCCATGTGCACTTAGTAGGTTCCAGCGATTTTGATCATATCATCAGTCCACTTTATTGGATGACCACGCTTAACCTTCCGGTACGCGGCCGATACTCGAAAATTCTTCGCTCTAACGATCATTCGAGATATGCGTCGCCCACTGCCACTTAGCTTGAAAATTTGGCGGGCTAAGAAGGTGACCTCGGCGATCAAAATTATTATTCCTCTATTACAATAATCAGCAAAGGCATAATAACTGTGATATTGTGTATACACTAGGCATTTTTCTCAAAACACTAATAAAATAAATATTTAAGACGTATTATTTACCTAATTACTATTTACTCTTATTATTTTGCAGATTTGGTAAAAACCATGATCTGTCAAACCACACAGTGTGGTTAATTCGTTCATGCACACAGTATATTGATTCAATGATTTGTATACGATCAACATCCTTGAATTATTTCAAAGAATATTTTTAGAAAGTAAATTTCAATATTGTACGAAGTTAAAAATAAGTGTATAATTTAAGACAAGAGGCTTCAAAGTCGAAGATCATTAATACAAGTTTCAAGTATATTCGGCCCATGTAAATAATTACTTATTTTTAAAATAAGTTCTTTCCAAAAAAAATTATAATAAAAATATAAGTAGGTACTGTAGTTTACTATAGCAATACTTACGCAAAAAGAAGGAACATCGGCTATTTTATTTTATACACTATAAACTACTTAGTTAAAAATAATATTAGCAAAATTACAATTACTTGCTGTAACTACAAATCGTACTCGTATAAAAGACCTAGTAATTTGTGTTCGACTTCATAATGATGAGGATCTCAATTCGGGTGTGTGTTTATTTCTTTGGATGTTATTTACCTTGGTGCTGATTATTTTTATAAATAAAATATTACCAATAATGATTTTGAACTGTGTGAGGTACATTTTCGTGTAAAAAAATGATTATCTTCTTTAAATCTCATTTGTAACATCCATTAAATTAAGGAATAAATTAAAAATAATCGTTTATTTTTCTTTCCAATGGGTTTATACATGAGTAATGACACCCGGACCTCCGAATTCCGAACGTATTTACAATCATGGCATTTATACTCATGGCATTATACATATACCGAGAATTTTGCTACTTATATTATTACAAAAAACTACCTTTTCCTTACAAATATAATATGAAAATTACCACTGGCTTAATGGTTTTCTTTATTTCTAAAAATTTCTTTGTTTACGTTATTCACTGACAGGTTAATTGTAGCTCTGTTTAATATAATTATAGCGTTAGCGCTAATATATGTTTCTTATGTTATTTAATTATATAAATAAAATCGTTTAAATCGTTAAGTCGTTGTCACAAAAACATAAATAGTTAAATTTATTATATATACTACATGACTAAATATTTCACATATACTTATAAATCAAAAAATGATATTTTAAATGAATACAGTGATTAAATTCAAGGTTATTTAAAAGAGTCAAAGCTCTATGTAAAAAATCCATTCATAGAACAACAATACTGAATTTATATATATAAGAAAAATATAACTGATCGCTATCTGTACATGGAATATATTAGAGAAAAACTATTATTGGGGGTTTTTATTAACGCAAAAGAACCCAAAACAATAATTTTTAGTCTAGAATTTTTGTTTGTTTGTCTGTGAGTTTGTGCGCACTAATCTCAGAAACGGATACATCGATTTGGGTGCGGTTTCATTAACGTGTTGTGCATTTTAAAATTTAACATTTGTTTAATTTCAATCGGTTCATAAATAAAAAAAGTTATGTAAATTTAAAGAATCACCTAAGGACGAACTAGAGCGAAGCGACGGTGAGTCGCTAGTATTTAATATTTTTAAATGCTATTTTTATTAAATAAAACTTCTAAAAATTTAGGCTTAAATGAACATATCGTTAATATTAAATTCTGTATATCAAAACAATCTAAGAAAGTAAAGATTGAGTGCAGTTGCAACGTTGCAAAGTCAATGTCACTAACACATAATATCTGTTATTAATATACACCTTGATATTTAATATTAAGACACACCTCCGAGTTCAGTAGTTCTTATATATAAGCATAATCTTAGTTGCGCAATAAATCCTTCAAGGTGAATAGACGATATAATACCATTGGCCTTACCATTTTCAGAAGGCCGGCTGTATGGGCATGCGCGCGGGACGCTGCTCGTGGCCAAGAGGGAAAGTCGTTGGTGGATCATCCGTACTCCATTCTATGATGCACACACGAGGCAACAAAAAAGATTATGACTCATGGGCTGCTAATGGAAATCCAGGTATCATAAATCAAATATCTTATACATAAAATAAAAAAAAAGTGTCATAATATTCCTCGCTCAATTTACTATTAATTTAATGTATGTATTAATTAGTATAGCACACTTTTTAATATTACAGGATGGGACTACAACAACGTTTTAAAATATTTTAAGAAATCAGAAAATATTCAAATTCCTGAGTTAGCTAAAGATACGAAATATCATTCAACAGCAGGACCAATGGTAATTCAATATCCAAATTGGCGCACTTCATTATCTGACGCATTTTTACAGGCTGGTCTGGAAACAGGTGGCAAAATTGTAGACTACAATGGAGAGAAACAAATTGGATATTCCATTATACAGTTCACTATGAAAAATGGAACCAGAATGAGCGCTAGTCGAGCTTTCCTTCATCCAATTAAGCACCGTAAAAACTTTCATCTTGTTAAAAATGCAATAGTTACCAAAATCCTCATTGATCCTTGGAAAAAACAAGCTTATGGCGTGGAATTTGAAAAAGGCGGAATGAAATATGTCATAAAAGCGAAACGTGAAGTAGTTTTATCTGCAGGTGCTATTAACTCTCCACAACTATTAATGCTTAGTGGAATCGGTCCGCGAAAACATTTGACAAAAAAAAATATAACCACATTATTTGATTTAAGAGTTGGTTATAATCTCCAAGATCACTGGGCATTAGGCGGCCTTACATTCGTAATCAATACTACTGATTCTCTACGGATTGAAAAAGTTGTTACTTTTGATAATGTCCTAGAATATTTTAATCATCATAATGGGCCAATTTCGGCACCAACAGGAACTGAAGCTCTAGCATTTTTCGATACAAAGAATCCAGATGATGAAGATGGCTATCCTGATTTAGAACTGCTATTTGTTGCTGGTTCTCTCGTATCCGCGTCGGCATACAAATACGCTTTTGCGATTGAAGAAAGTTTATACAATACTGTATATGAGCCCATAAGTAATCAACATACTTGGATGGTTTTTCCCATGTTACTGCTTCCACAATCTAGAGGTCGGATAACTCTTAGAAGTAATAACCCTTATGACAAGCCAATTATAAACGCTAATTATTTTACAGACGATGGTCACGACGAAAATGTAATATTATATGGGATTAGAAAAGTAATAGAATTATCGAAAACTAAAGCATTTCAAAAATTTGGAAGTAAATTACATGACATTCCCATACCAAAATGTGCAAATTTCAAATTTAATTCCGATGCTTATTGGCTATGTGCTATGAAGACCATAACAAATACGATTTACCATCATTGTTGTACCGCAAAAATGGGACCACAAGATGATCCAGACGCAGTTGTGGATTGTCGTTTAAGGGTACATGGATTGAAAGGTCTTAGAGTGGTCGATGCCAGTGTTATGCCGCATGTCCCTGCAGCTCACACCAATGCACCAACTATGATGATAGCAGAAAAGGCTGCAGATATGATTAAAGAAGATTGGGGATTTCCTATTACCGTGGACTAAACATCCAACAAACTGAGACTCAATCACGACCTCAAAGATATTACAGAAAAATTACAAAAACAGGTAGATATTAAGAAATCCATAATGTTATAAATTTTATTTCTAATAAAATATATGTACAAGTATACGCGCATGCTTTACAATTTCTTAAAGTGTGTAGCCATCCAATATAATCTTCTTATATTTCACACTACATCCTTAAAACATTACACATACACTGCCAAACACTATCATTATGTACTAATATTAGGTCCAGTGGTCGAAATTCGACCATAGTTTTTTTTAATAACACTAAAGATTGACCAACAGAGAAGAAAAACGTACTGAACTGTTTGTCTTTGTCTATTTATATATAGGTATTCTATATTAGATGGAATTGCAAATTCAATAATTTCAATAAGTAACATTAGGTACACCATATGTAGGATGTATACTTTTGGAACCGGAGAAATTTATGAAATTAAATTATTAAATATGCATAAATAATATGCGTAAATACGCCTCCCTTAATCAAAATTATATCTTTATACTATTTGCTGTAGAAAACCTTTGCTCATCAAGTCGAACTGCTAAACCTCGTCTTATCACCTCTACTGGTGATAAGAAAGCTGGCCATGCTCATGTCCGCGTGGAATTGTGGCATGAATACTAGCCGCATTCCCCCACTGTTTGGTGGGTTTTTCATCCAAAGAATGGGCATTGCCATTCAGTAGGGGAAGGAGTAATAATTAAGTGTACATTTGTTTATATAATAATTAAGTATATTTGTAATTAAAATGTATTTCCTTTATTATTAATTGCTTCCCCATACAATATTTCATCCCCATTCTCACCCGCTTAAGGGATGATTTCCGGGATAACAACTATTTCACTCACTCACTTTTCATATCATGAGATTTAAAAAAAAACTAATTTTAGTAAAAATAAATTTTTTTCTTTAATTTTCTTCTGTATAAAACTTGTCCTGCTAATAACAAACACAAAATAAAATAATTATCCAATTTGGTGCAGTCGATTGGAAGTAATGCGTGTAAGTGTACATTCCATTTCGGTGATTCATATTTTTTATTTATATAAATGTAAATAAATAAAAATATGCATAATTTAGCATTTTTATAACACATTTTTACGAGTTAATATTACACTAATATAATGAATAGTACCTAAAGTTTACGAATGTTTGTATTCGTTGGTTCTTGACGTAATAACTAAAACGAAATATGCTCAAAATATTTTATACATCGTTCATGTTAATGTGTATGTACAATAAAAAAATTAGAACTATAGACATATTTTCAAATTCGCTTACAAGCTTTAAAAAATAATATGAATCGATTATTGAATGTCAATTTTGTGTTTTATGTATCTAAGTTATATTTTTCCCTGTTTTTTTTATTTAATAAATGTTTCTCAGTGTTTCTTTTTAATTGTTTAACTTTTTTTTTGTTGTTCATTGTCTTTCTGTTTTTGTCTTCTACTTCATATTTATAAATTAGTTATAAATTGAAACTTGATTGTTTTATGTGTCGTTTTATTATTATTTATTACTAGCATTGCCCGCGACTCCGTCTGCGTTGAGATGGCCAAAAACCAAATTCTTAGGTTTTACATATTATTATACTCTTACAATGCAGTTTTTGTATTTTTTCTCAGAAATGAGATATTTTCCCGTGGTAAAAAGTATCCTATATGTTGACCCGGATAACCAGCTATCATCATACTACATTTCATCAAAATCTGTCCAGTGGTTTTCTCGTGATGCGGTAACAGACAGACAGACAGACAGATAGTCAGACAAAAATTCTAAAAACTATATATTCGGACTATATCGATAATAATGTCTATTTCAATTAGATTTTCCAAAAAATTTTATATGCACAGATTCGACTTAGTTACAATTTTATTATATGTATAGATTTATGTATCTAATACATAGGTGTACCGGAAAGTCATTACAGGTTTTTCTAAGAGATGTCGCTAGGCTTAAGTATGAAATGATTATGATTTACATATATGTCATTTTATTCTACTGACATCAAGATTCAGAGCTATATATGTTATATTTTGCGAAAGAAACACCGTTATAGATTAATACCTCTTTGAATATATCAAGTTTCGTTCCTGAAAACGTGCATTTGCGGTACTCATTACTTTTCTTATATAATCAAAAGAAAAAAGCCGCGTAAAGCCATCGTTTGCTGGTAGAAACTTACAGTGAGCAATGAGCATGCTCTAACCTTAAAATCATGTGAGGCGTGGTTTCGAAAATTCAAAAGTGATGATTTCGATATGCAAGACAAAGAACGTTCTGGTAGACCGAAAAAGTTTGAAGATGCGAAACTGCAGTAGTTATTGTATGAAGACCCAACCCAAACTTAAAAACAATTTGCAGAAGCGTTAAATGTGGCACAATAAACGATTAGCGACTGATTACGAGCAATGGGGAAAATCCAAAAGATGGGATGATGGGTTCCACATCAATTGAGTGACAGGCAAATGGAATATCGAAAAATCGTCTGTGAAATGCTGCTTCAAAGGTATGATCGGAAGTCATTTGTGCATCGAATAGTGGCAGGTGATGAAAAGTGGATTTATTTTGAAAACCCTAAGCGCAAATAATCATGATTATCACCTGGCGAAGCCGGCTCATCGAATCCAAGGCCAAATCGTTTTGGTCGCAAGACAATGCTCTATGTTTGGTGGGACCAGAGTGGTGTAGTGTATTACTAACTGTTGAAACCTGGTGAAACATTTAATCGCGTCGCTACCGACAACAAATGATCAATTTGAACCATGCATTGATCTAAAAACGTCCAGAATGGGCCCGAAGACACGGTAAAGTGATTTTACAGCACGATAACGAGCCATCTCATAAAGCAAAACCGGTCAAGGAAGCGTGAAATGCACTTATATGGGACATATTATCGCACCCGCCGTACTCTCCAGACCTAGCCCCGTCAGCAGCATTTCGCCAATTTCGAAGAAGTTAGAAAATGGCTCGATGAATGGTTTTGCTCAAAGGACAAACAGTTTATTTGGGATGGCATCCATAAATTGCTTGAAAAATGGGTAAGATGTATAGAATCAAATGGCCAATACTTTGAATAAATATTTTTTTCCATTTTCTTGAAAGTTACGTAGTTTTTTTTTTTCGAAAAAACCGGTAATGACTTTCCGGTACAGGTATAGGTATAGGAAATAAATAAAAAAATAATGATGTTCTCACTACGCGAACGGGGAATAAATAACTTGTTACTTAGTTGTTATTATACGATTAAGACCAATATCAATAATAAATGTTATATTACTAGAAATATTTAATATTTTTAATTCATAATATCTTCAACTAATTAAATATACCACATAATTTTAGGTTATGCCAAGTTTTAAGTAACTCTGATCATAAATATTTTTTTGGATTGTATTATAACGTGTTTTCACGTGGGAATTAGATAATGTCTCGCGATAAAAAGTAGCCTATGTCACTCTCAAGCCCTCCAACTATCGCCACACAAAAAATCACGCCAATCTGTCACTCCGTTTCTACGTCAAAAAAGGACATACAAACAAACAGACACAATTTCACATTTATAATATTAATCATTAAAATCATCATTAAAATATCAAATCTTAAGTTTAAAAACATCCATATGTGTTTAAACTTAAGATTTGATAGAATTAGAATTTTTCCTCTTTATGACCGCGCTCTTCACGTGTAGAGTAGTAACTCTGCTTCACGCAAGACCAACTAACAATTAACCAGTTTTTAGGGTTCTATGCCTACCTCAAAAACTAAAATTATCCCTTAACTCTTAAGAGGTAATTTAGTTAGGTGCATCATGCGAATTCTTGATTATATAAAGGGTATTTTATTAGAATACAAATATAATGCAAGGATGTAAACAAATTATGCATATCCCAAACCTTATCTCTGAAACTACCTTGTATTGCCAAAAATATAAAAAATTATATTATACTCATATTTTACAAAAAACGTACGGAATACTACTTCACTTGAGTGTCACTTGTACTAATTTTATTTGAGTCCAGTGTTACAAGGACAAAGTAGACCATCCATATCTGCTTTAAGTTTATTATCTAAAATACTTTATTATAATGAAGTTTTTTTTATTATTTACTGTTGTGTAGTAGATTCTTTGTTTTATCATTATAATATTATTAAACCAATGGTTTAGTTACTACGTGCAACCTATAAAGTTATAAGAATAAATAAATAATAAAAAGCGTAAGAATAAGTAAGATAAATAAACAATAATTATCTAACCCTGAAATATATTTTTCCTTTTATGTCAGAATCTCAGAAACAGTGTACAGATTTTTATATTGTTTCCACCAATATAAATAGCAATTGTCTCAGATAGATTACAAATTACTTTAAAAAAAGATAACAAGTTAATATTTGTCCCGCTGAGTTTCTTTTCCGCCTGAGGCTTCTTCTTTCCGAAGTGGTAGTAGATACGTGACGTACAGTAAAAAATTGTAATAATTTAATGCTGAATAAAATATTATGAATTTAGAATTTTTTGAATTTTGATTTATGAAAATTTTGCAAGAATAAGTTTTCGGTATGATACTTGGGAATTAAATCGGGATAATCATCGCTAATACGGGCGCATCCGAGCGATGTAAGAATAAGCCACTAATGTTATACTAATAGTTCTGCGAACTGTAGACCTCGCGAGCACAAACTGCATTTTGAGGAGCTATTCTGCTCATCAAACCGAATATCCTCATCAGATCCTTACCTTAGTGATTAACTTTTAAAGAAAAGAAGCTCAACGAAATCGGATCTCATAATGCCGAGATAACCCAGTAACCCCCTTTTTGCCATTTTTACAGGAAGTACCCCTCCAATGAAATATCCCCGACGACAAAAAAAATTATATACTTAGTCGTAAAACCAGTGTACCAAATTTCATCCAGATCGGTTGTAAAATATGACCTGTAGATGAGTACCAACAAACTGACAGAGGGAA